ATGTCTTCACCAAAACCTTTTTGTGTATTTTCTGTAATTGTGTAAAAACACACACACACACACACACACACAAGCCTTTTTGTGTATTCTCTGTAAACCAGGCAGGAAGAACAGTAATTGTACTATCAGGAGCTCCTCCCTTCTAAGGGCCAAAGTGAAATGTGTCCTTCCTCCTTGACACCCCAAAGAGAACTCAGAATCTTCAGTTGGGGTTGTCCTCAAAACAACCAAAGACTGAAGATGTGTGTCCTTGTTGCAGAAAAGAGACTGGCTGCTGTTGGCCAGAGGGGAACCCCAGATCCCCAGACACAACCAGAATGTCCCCGCCAGCAGCTTCTACGTGATCACACCATCTCAGTCTCTCACACTGCTGGTGAAGTTGGTGGCCACGAGGGACCTGATGCTGCCTGGCTTCTTCCCCCTGCTCTCTGAGGACCCACCTGAAGACAGCCTAAAGATGATAGAGGCAGGTGCAGCCTTTGTGTCCTAGTGTCCTCTCGCTGTGAAGAGACGCCGCCGTGACCAAGGCAACTCTTACAAGGGAAGGCATTTAATTGGGGGCTTGCTTACAGTGTCAGAGGCTTAGTCCATTACCAACATGGTGAAAACCCTGGCAGGACACATGGTGCTGGAGCAGTGGCTGAGAGCTACATCCTGATCCTCAGGCAGAGAGACACGGGGCCTGATGTGGGCTTCTGAAACCTCGAAGTCCACTCCCAGCCACACACTTCCTCCAGCACGACCACACCTCCTAATCCTTCCAAAGTAGTCACCAACTGGGGACTGAGCACGCAAACCTATGAGCCTGTGGTAGTCAATCCCGTTTAAACCACACACCACGGGACAAATAGAAGGGAGCTTGAGAAAGGGGTGAGGGAGAAAAAAGTGGGCCATAAGGGAACAGATGGGGAGCAGATGGGGTTTGTTACGGCCATCAGAGATAAAAGCCAGGATAGAAAATGAAGTGGGAGGAAGTCAATGGTCCGATTATGAAAATTAATTGAGAACCTGGTTTGAGGGAAATAAGGTTTGTGAAGAGATAGTTGAGAAATGGGCCTCGACATAGGCAAATAATTGGGAATTAGTGCCATCTGTCTTAAGAGAAGATCCCACAAACGTGGGCACATGTACAAACCTACGCATGCACACACACATATATACCCCTGAAATCTGATGTAAATGAGTGCCAACAAGTAGCTAGCTGCGAAGGAAAAGGGGTCAGTATCCCAGAAGGGAAAGCTGACAGCAGGCAGGAGAGGAAGTCCAGACAGGAAGTCCAGGTCCAGGTGCTCAATCTGATCTGTTTAGCTTGGTCTGGAGCGCCCTTTGCAAACGCCAGCCCTCGTGAGCCTGCTCTCATCTGCACTGGGCCTTGGAGAGGAGGCTGTGAGGCTTCAGGAGGAGAGGGGGACAACAGGAAGGAAGGGATCAAAGCCCGGTGGGAGCCATCGAACCAAGACATGATGGGAAGACGTGGGTGGATTCTCATGTCTTCAAGTGTTCGTCACGGTGCTCTAGTGTGTGTGTGCCGAGCCTCTAGACAGATGGCAGCGTGTCTGTGGCTCCCCCTGCGTCCTCTGTGTGACACTGCATTCCTGTAGTGTGTATATGCATGCTTGTGCTCCGGGCCTCTGCTGGGGACGAGGAGTAAAAGAAGTCTGAAATTCAAATGCAAAGCAGCCAGCAGGCCAGGAGGCAGCCTTCTTCGGCACCCCCTCTCCCCTTCTCTCCACCTCCTCCCCTGTGCTCTCCCACCCCTCCTCCTCTCTAGATCCTGCCTTTCCTCCCGGGTTGGGGTGGAGAGGGGGCTCTGGACTGGGAGAGTGGGAACGGCCGGCTGAGGAGCAGAAAGGACAGAGTCTGGGATTGTGCTTGCTGCTTGGCAGCCATGGGAACGCAAAGAGGTGGGCTGGAGTGCCATGGCTCCCTCGGCAGGTCTCCCTTCAGGGCCAGTGGTTCCTGGCACAGGATGTTGTGGCCGGAAAACCTAGCTACTCAGGAATGCTGTGCTCCAATGGCCTCCTTCTCCGCCCCACTCACCTCAGGCTGGGAACTCCCTGTACTCGTATTGAGGACTGGAGCATCTCAACCCTGCCTGTAACCTGAAGACACACCCACCCTCGGCCTCCACACTGGACCCCTTGTACCTCTCGGGGAGTTCTGGTTTTTCTCAGAACCCAGTGACACTTCCTGGGGCTAGTACTAGGGGCTTCAGAGTCTCTAACCACCAGGCGTTCCATCTACTTCGCCCGACATCAGCACACTCTCGTGGGCGGGCGGAACACCAGCGGGACTCACCTATCTCAGCCTCAGCCGCGGTCTGGGGTCCTCCCCATCCCCCAGCCTCTCACATGCTCAGGTCTCTACGGGGCCTCTCGTGTTCTATGACCTTGAGTTCCTGAATTAAGCGTCTCTTCTCCTCCTCCTCCTCCTCCTCCTCCTCCTCCTCCTCCTCAGAGCACACTAGACAGCCTGGAGCTGGGGCCCACCTACAACCCCCTGCAAGTGGAGAGCCACCTGTACGCACATCTGAGCAGCACCTATGCCAAGCCTCAGGGGCGCCTCTGCACAAGCTGGGAGAGCCGGGGCCTTAGAAAGGTACCTCTCCCTCGTCCGTCCCGTCCTTCCCTTTGTCCCCATCCCCCTTTGTGCCCGAGTCCAAGGCAGCCCTCCATCGCCACCCCGCAAGAGCACCAGAACAAAGAGAGTGGCCCACTCCACACCCCCACGGGTGGAGGGGAAAACCAAGCTGAAGAAGGAGAGAGAACCTGCTGAGGCAATCGCAGGCAGTAGCTGAGGGAGGGGGAGGGGACACGGGGCGGTGTCGGTTGGTCTGGGGTCTGTTTTGTTTTCCCGGAGACTGGGCTCACGATGTAGCAGGACAGCCCAGACTGGTCTTGAGCTCGCCATGGGCCTGCCTCAGCCTCCCGGGGGTGGGGAGGGAGGGTGGGGGGAGGTGATATGGCTCATGCCATCACACCTGTGGTTTAGGTATTCTAACTGTGATGTTATCTGCTGGCCGCCGTCTTGTTAAGCAAACAGGCCACACTGGAACTCCAACCACTGCCCTCTCTTTGGAAAGAAAAGAGGGCTGACAGGGAGGCGGGACTAGAACTGCCTAAGGGAAGGGAAAGGAAGGCTTCTAGAGCTCCAGGCGCGGCCAGGCTTTCTAACAAGAGCTCACTTACTCTTCACGGTACCAGCAAGGGGAGCGTCACAGAGGACAGGTGAGGAGCCAGACCTGGACTCCTCAGAATGGGGCTCCGGAGAAAAGGCTCGAAACCAGAAGCCAAGCATGGTGGCTCACACCCGTAATCCCAGCAATCCCAGCGCTCAGGAAGCTGAGGCAGGAGGATTGCTGGACATTTGAGGCCATCCTAGGCTACAGTGAGACCTGAAAAGAAGAGCAGGAGAGATCAGAAGGGAAACTGAAGTGTTTCTAGGAGGTCCATGGTCTATGGTATTAAGGTTTCCTTTTGCTCAGAGGACTTTCCTGGTTTCTCTGTAACTGAGCATTTGGAAAAACCCCCATTTTTGTCTCAGCTAAAATTGCTGAAGGATGTTTCTAAACTCCGGAAGAAGCAATGACCAGATGCATAGGCGCAGAGCCCACCGTGAGGGCTTGGTAGGCAGGCTGACAGAGAAGGGACACTGGGCAAGGAGAAGAAGATGCTGCAGAGGTTGCAGCCCAGGGGACTCCAGTCACCACCCTGGGCCTTCAGGGTGTCAGTCACTCCAGGAGTGAGATCTGGGAAGGAATTAGGACCAGAGTCCCGCAGGAAACAGTGGCAGGAACTTGGGAACTGTCTGGTCTTCACAGAAGACTCTGGTTGTTCTTTGCAGGCTGGACAGTTGCAGACCAGCAGAGTTCGAGCCACAGTGGTCCCCTTGCCAGTGGCTCCAGCCCCAGCTAGAGCTCCCAAGACGTCAGCAGCCAGCAAAGCTTCCTCAGGAACCTTCCTGCCCTCTGATTCAGAGGAAGAGTATCTTTCTCAGACATAAGTCTCCAGCACCAGGACACAGCCATTCCACACAGGATGGCTGCCTGAGGGCAGATCTGCCTGCTCTCAACCCGAGCCTGTGAGCTCAGGCTCTCCCACCTCGGTCCCCAGTGCTGCCATTGCCCAACCCAGGACTGAAAGCAACACACCCAGGCCTGTCTTTTGTCCAGCAGGGATTTTCTTTCTCATTTGGATCATTTGATAGTGTTGACACAAATAATTAAATGCCCAGTAAGCCTCTACCATTGTTCGGAGCATTCCTAGGCCAGAATTTCTTCCTGCAGCTCTGTGTAAGAAGGTGGACGAGGTCAGGTCACCCTTGGGAAACTGCAACTCAAGAATTACGATGAGGTTTTCACAGCTCCAGAAAAACCAAGACATTAGAACCTGAACCCTGGTCCAGAAGAGTCCCCCTCCCAAACCACCCACAGCAGTTCCCTTCAGCTCCAGACCCCTGTGAGCAAGCGTGTGCGTATGTGGAAGGGGCGGGGTGCTGTTGTGCTGCCCAGCAGAAGGACGTGGGCACTGTGAAAGAAGCTTACTCCACACCTCATCTCCTCTCCCCACACTGCCTCCCTTCCTGTCCGCTCCCTTGAACTACAGAAAAAATAGCTGCCATTTTGAAATACCTTCCTATGCCTTAGATGACACTAAGTGCTTGGGCAATGTATCCACTTCAGTGCGAGCAACCCATGGAAGCCGAGCCAAATTCTCACCCTTGGTGGAAGGACAGTGGAGGAAATTAAGGACTGTGGACAGCAGATACCTGACCCAGGGTCACAGAGCTAGAGACCAGCCCAGGGGAGCCCGGGGGCACCCAGGTGAGCCCACGGCCACCCAGGCTCTGAGCCACCACAGGTAGACTTCCCTCCCTGGGGCCCTTTCCTCCTTCCCTGGTCCCCAACATGTTTCTGGTTCTTCTCTTGATCTGTCCACATCCGCCTCCAGCACATGCTGCCACTGTGTCTATTCACACACACAGACTTTTTCAACCCAAACTGGCTTTAATGAGATTTATTTTATAAATTAAAAAATACATCTGCCAAAGAACAATACAAGACTGAGGATCCATACTGGCCTCCCCAAAGTGCACCCACTCTGACCAGCAGACCCCTTCCATAGGCCTAGTCCCGGAGCCATCCATTCCTTAGCGCTGCCGCCTCCCCAGAGCCTACCTCTCAGCCTTATCATTTGTTCTACTTCCTCTGACTTCCTGGGGCTGGTCATCCCTCGATGCCTCTGGTCCCCTAGTCTTAACATAGGCCCCCCCCACCCTCTGGTTCCTGCTGGTTAGAACAGGTTTGATGTTCACTGCCACCTCTCCATGAAGCTCCTGTCAGCAACTGTCTCAGGTGGAGCCCTCTGACTTGACCCCCGCCCCCTCACTCCCTACTCCAGAAAGCCCACAGTCCCAACCCCCTGAGGGCCCGCTCTTCTGGACCTGGCTGTACAGAGCTGTGTCTAAGCTGTGACCTTTGCTGCCATTGCCGCCTGTGGTACCAGGGTCAGGAAGGGCCAGGCCCTGCGGCTTGGGGGCAGGGACAGGCTTTGAGCTCCGAGGAGGCGGCACAGCATAGTCATCTGTAGCAGGGTTGTAGGGGAGCTCATAGCCCTCCTCCTTCGCCCGAGCCTGGCACCACCATGCATCCTTAGGCTCCTGAGGCAGATCATAAAGGCCCCGGGGAGGGGCTGGGGCCAGGCCCTCCGGTTCATCATAGATGGGGTCCTCTTTGGAGTCTGTCAGCTTGGTCTTCAGCAACTGCTGCTGCACGTGCCCATACAAGTCCCAGTAGAGAGGTTTCTTCGAATGCACCCCCTCCCCTGCCCGAGCAGGGGTGCTGCCCAGGGGGTCTGAGTATAGAGAGTCCTGAGAAGGAGGGCCTGGGAGAATTCGCAGGGAGTCTAAAGGCTCAGCATATAGGGCTGGGGGGCTGCCCAGGGGCTCCTGAGGGACAGGAGGGGAAGCTACCTTTCCCTCTGCCTCCCCTTCATGGGAGTCCGTCCTGAGGATATCTTGTCCCTGTCCCGCCTTTCCTTGGGCTTTCTGCTGCTGGATGGCAGCCTCAACTGCCTGAAAGATGTCATTTCCCTGTGCAGTCTGGAAGGTGAAGGTTCCAGGGCCAGAGGGGCAGCGGCGACCCGCTTCAAAAGAGAACATCACCTGAGGGTGGGAAGGGAAGCACGTTAGGACTGTCATAAGAGCTGCGTCACAGGTCTGACCAAGTTAGTGTATCTGCAGAGAAGAGACCACCTGGGAACGGAACGGGTCATCTACACCCACCCCATCCCACACCCTCCCTGACAGTCCTCCTCCAGACAGCCCCTGCACCTTGTCCCGGCCATAGCGGCGCAACAGAGTGTAGGGCCAGAAAAGGAGCGGCTCCAGGATTTGACTCTGGGCTCCCAAAGTCAGGAGGGTCAGCTTCTCAGCCTCCACCCTCAGTATGTAGGAGCCTTGCAGGCCGCAGCGTTCAGAAGCCTCAGTCCTCTGCGTGGTGACCCAGAACTGGGAGCCTGAAAGGAACACATAGAAAGAGGAAGGAGCGCTGGGGCAGGTTAGGGCCTCGGCCGACTCCAATCACTAGCTCCACGACAGCACATCTCCCGGCTCCATTCATGCCAAGCATCTATCTACCTTCCCAGGTGGGGCTGTACAGCGAATTCTCCAGCATCTCCAGGGCAGAAAACTTAGGCGGGTGCTCCGTCTGCGCCAAAGCCCAGCTGCCTTTCTGCGGAAAAAAGGAACATCGAGGAATATATAATTCCCTTAGGTCTGGAGTGGGTGCAGGAGGTTCAGTGCTGCGGTAATAGCCCCCATTCTCGCAGTGTCCCTTAGGCCCAGGGCCGCTCACCCCCATCCCCTCACCGGAAAGGCATTTCTGCATAAAGTCTGCACCCAGGCGACGCTGGACGGGGCGTCCGCCGCCAGCAGGTGCGAGCGCTGCGCGGTGTCCAGGCGGAAGGCAGTGGCGCCGGGCTCAGGGGGACTCTCCACAGACACAGGGGCCACGCTCACACACTCAGCCAGGCGGATCATCTTGCAGTCCAGACGGCGAGAGCCGCCTCGACCCCCTCCAGTGCTCGACCCCTTGTGGTCAAAGAACTCCAGCCGCGCTACGCCGTGGGGGCTAGCTGGGTAGAGCACAGCCCAGGTTTTCCTCCACCTCTGGGAAAAAAACGAAAGACGCGGGAGTGCGGGGCAGCACGCGCCCCACGGGGAAAGAGAGACCCACGCAGGCCGATCTGAGTCTGGGGCTTCCCAGGCAGGGACACTTTCCCAAAGATAATGCCATCCCAACGCCGCACCAAGGAGGGTACAGCCTGGGGCTTCAAGGGGCTCTACAATTGCCCTCGAGGCGTTTCGACCTGCTTCCGGCCCCTCTCCTCTTTCTGGATACTTTCACCCACTTCTAGTCCAGAGGGGGTTTCGCCACCCCCCACGGCACACACAGACACACACACACACACACACTACCTTGGTCCCAAAGCGCTGACTCTGCAGAAAGAGCGGACCCTCCATCACAGCCCCTTCCATGGTCCGGGCGGTTCCTTCCGCGCTTCCTGGCCCCAGGGGCAGGGGGCGGGGCGGGGCGGGGCTGCAGGGTGCCAGAGGCGTGCCCGCCCCTCCCCCGGCCCCTGCGGCGATGATGGGGGAATGGAGGAAGAGGAGCCCGCAGGAAGAAGTCAGGGTCCCCAGATAAGCAGACTGGGGCCTTTATCCTACCGTTGCACAGTGGCGCCATTCAGGGAAGCCGTGATTGACAACCAGAGGGCCCTGGTGCCTGGGAAGTGGGGGCTGAGAGTGACGTCATATGCTTAACGTGACATCGGAGTGAAAGCCGTGACATCATCCGCAGGCACCCCGGGAGCACCATAACAACCAAGGGGGCCCTCTGGACCGGACATTAGTTCCCCTTGCGGGACCTGCTCCCATGGCCCAGCCCTGGAGTTGAACTGGACTGTTAATACTCTGCCTCGCTGGGGTTGTGGAGGAACGGCTGGGGGGGCTGGAAAGTTTCCCGCAGCCACAGGGGCCGATCCCGAAACCGTTTGCAAGTCCAGCATCCTGACCGCGGCTGCCTGGCCTCCAACCTGCGGGGAAAAGAAAGCTTCATTGAGCCAGGAGAGGGGGGGGGGGGCGTAGGGGGACGGCTGCAGCCAGCTCCACGGGGGAGGGGAAGCTCTAGAGGAGGGAACTGGCCTGGCTGGAATGGAGGGAGAAAGCGGAATGTGGGAGGGCTCTAGGGGACGTGGGAGGGACCGACGAAGAGGGGGGAGGAAGGGGGGTCCGGTCTCCCCTGGCCGAACTTTTTTTTTTTTTTTTTTTTTTTTGGAAGTCCTAAAACTAATCTCCAGGACCAGGACTCTGCTTCCAGCCTCTGGGGCTCTGCCTAGGCGAAGAAGGTAGGGGAGTCACTGCAGGCCCGGAGAGGAGTTGGGGATGGAGAGGATGGTGGACCAGGGGGAAAGTTGATTTGGGATGGAGTCGGAGAAGCCAACCAGCTGACAGTTTTATTATTGCTAAAGGAGAGAAACACGAGAGAGTGGAGAGCTAGGCAGACACCGGGGATGGAGGCTTCAGGGTGCAGCTGGGAGGCTCTAAACCGAACACCAGGGCTTCCAGGCCAAACGCCTCCAGAACAAAGCTGTCTTGTCTGAGTTGGGGGAAGCAATTCTGGGGGCCCCCTTGCCGTGGAGGGCTGTTTTCAGCCCTGGATGGAGAAGGCCTGAGCTGAGGAGCCAGCCCTAGCTTGTGGTTGCCCAGTAACAGAAACAGTGGTGTGACAGAAGCTCGGGACAACCCCACACCAAACCCTGCCCAGCTCGAACCTAGCTCTCCTGGAGTCCCTGACCCTGCAGGGTATTTGCGAGCCCATGTGCTAGGGAGGGTGGCTGAAGGTTCTCCTACTCTGTTTAGCCCAGCATTTCCTGCCTGGGCATCTGCTTCCATAGAAAACCACTAATGGCCCTCTCATTCATCGTTCTGAGATCTCGGCCGTCTGCTCTCCCAGGCTCCCCTTGCCTGTACTGCTGCCTGAGTCTGCCTGCTTCATGGGTCCCCCTGTCATTTCTCCTGTGCTGCCCCGTGGCCTTTATTCCCTCTCGTGTTTTGTGCCTCTCTGTGTCCCTCCCCAATACTATGCGTTTGGGTTTGTATCCTGTCTATCCATATTCAATGTGTCTCTCACCCTGTGTCTTTCTGGCTTTTGTTTTTTTTTCCCTTCATTCCCACAGTCTCCCTTACTCTCACATCCTGTCCGCCTGGGTCATCCTCTCTGTGTGCCTGTTTTCAGTCTCTCTGTTTATCTAGACCATCCTCACACTCTTGGCCTGTAACCCCCACATCCACCCCATAAATGGGAGTAAATGGTGATGACGGTAATGAAGATAGTGCTGGCCAAAGGAGGGGAGGGCATTGTGGGACATAACAACTTACAGCGGTTCTATTATTTGCAAAGGGAGGGTCTCCCTCCCTCACCCCCAGTCTGGGTCTCTCAGGCTGTGCCTGTTTTCTTCATGTCCCTACCCTCATTTAGTGCGTATCTCTCCTTCTCTGTCCCTTAGTGCCCCCCCCCCTCGGGCCTTGCCTGCCATGCGACCTGTCAATGTGTGGTTTCCATGGGGACCGCTGCTGCTGCTGCTGCTGCATTTGCTGTGCAGCTCCAGTGTGGGGTCTCCATCCGCTTCCACTGACCCAGAGAAGAAGGTGGGAAGCCAGGGGCTGAGGTTCCGGCTGGCGGGCTTTCCTAGAAAGCCCTATGAGGGCCGTGTGGAAATACAACGTGCTGGCGAATGGGGCACCATCTGCGACGATGACTTCACACTGCAGGCTGCCCACGTCCTCTGCCGGGAACTGGGCTTCACAGAAGCCACAGGTTGGACCCATAGTGCCAAATATGGCCCGGGAACAGGTGAGCAATGCTCTCGGCTAGCCCAGACGTTACCTAAGTGCAGTTCAAGTACAGAGAGAAGAATGCGATGATGGTACAGCCACAGGGATGCGGGACACCAAGACTGGATAGAATTAAGTAAATCCACAGATAATAAACCATCTAACACAGTAATTTCCGGGCCATATGCTCTGAAGCTAGCACGTGCCTTTCATGAGCCTCCAATGTTCCGTGTGCAGAAAAAGGAGGGGTTGATAAATTCTCCTCTGCACAGTAAGATTCTGAGAGCCATGCACAAGGACAGCCCAGTGCAGGTGAACCCTGAATGATCCAAGTGCAATTAACTTGATGAGAATGTGAGGTCAGATGAATGGTGTCTGCTTGTCCCATTGCCAGAAGGGGTCACATACCACAGCTGACAAAAATCAGGATCCAGGCTAGAGCTAACACTATCAAGCTGGAACTCATGTGGCTCAAGTATGAGTGTGAGGGTTAGGGCACAGTCCTCTGAGGGTGGAAGTGCTCTCAGACCATATGGACTCACAGTGGGGCCAGTGGGCGGATATGCGGATATGTGTGCATCCTGCGGTTGTGTTGATCCCCCTGTTCCCAACAGCTCTACCACTTCCGAGATAAAGTGCCACTTGGAGATGCCACACTTTGAGAGGGACAGTGGAAAGTGGGCTAAGGATGTATGTAGCTCAGAGGTAGAGTGATTGCCCTGCTCAGCCCTCCCGAGAGAAGGAGGGAGGAAAGGGGAGACAGAGAAAGGTGAAACCGCTTTCAGAAGCCACGTTTCAGGAGGAATGGCTAAAAAAAACCAAAAGTCTGGCACAGAAACAAACAAACAAAAAAGCCCCAGTTAGCAATTACATGATGCTGGTGTTCAAATTCAGCAAGGACAGTGGTGGCTGAAGGGTTTTCTGGGTGGCGTCAGAGGACTGAATGAGACCTAGTTGGGGAAAGTTGTAAAGACCCACAAGGACTTTCCGATGGTTATGTGGCCACGTGGGGCAGACGGGTAAGCTCTGTTAGACTAGGTGAGGTGCCCCTCACCTAACACTGGCTGAGACACGTACCCTTGAGGAGGCCCCTCCCAGTTCTGAGTGGTCAGTGATACTCAACAGGATCTAGAAAGTAAAAAGAGGATTTCTGTGGCAGCAGGCAACATAGGTATACAGAAAAAAGCCGCAGGGAAGAACGTCAGAGTGAAGTAAAAGACTTCCCAAGTCTCAGGGAGAAGTCAAAATCTTAAGTTACATCGTGCTTTGGAGCCCCGGTCTATTTACATAAAGTATTTGTCTTCTGGCAGCTCCAGTCTGAGAACGATTAAGTATGTACGTACTACGGCAGAGCATTCATAGTAGGTGCTTACTTATAGCTATTGTTAAATGGACCCTTATTGATGAGAATTTAAATGTTGGTTCTTGGTTGTTATTGTTAATTCACCCTAATCAATGTTTCAGTGTCCCGGATCACCACCAACCTTGTGTCAGCTTATACCCTCTTCCCCTCCATCCCCATCACTCCCTCATCCTTCTCCCTCAGGCACTCCTCTGTCTGCTCATCTCCCTTTCCACAGGCCGGATCTGGTTGGACAATCTGAGCTGCAGTGGGACTGAGGGAAGTGTGACGGAATGTGCCTCCCGGGGCTGGGGAAACAGTGACTGTACCCATGATGAGGATGCTGGGGTCATCTGCAAGGACCAGCGCCTTCCTGGATTCTCGGACTCCAACGTCATTGAGGTCTGCAGTACACACACACACACACACACACACACACACACACACACACACACACACACACCAAAAAAGCTATGGGGTGGCCATATGTGATTAGAAGAGACATTATAAAGGGATCCCGTAAGCCTTTATAGGATAATGTGGGTTTCCGGGAAATTTGGAAGGCGGGGGCCCAATGAGGTGCCGCACTGCCAAATCCAATTTTTAAAAATGTATATGGGTGTTTTGCGGCCATGTACGTCTGTGTACCCCGTGCATGCCTAGAGTAGGCAGAGGCTGGAAGAGGCCACTGGATCCCATGGAACTGGAATTACAGGTGATTATGAGCTGCCTGCCATGTGGGTCCTGGGAATTGAATCCCAGGTCCTCTGGAAGAACTCTAGCCCCCAAATCCAATTATTTTAAGTATTCACACTGGAGTTACTAAACCTGGCATGAGCCTCTCCAGTTTCATTCCTGGCCACCTGTCCCTCTCCTCCAACGTTTCTCCTCTCCTTCAAACTCTTTCTTACTTTTTCCTCTTCCTAAGACACTTCGCTGCGAAGCTTGTCTCCTGCTTCAAGCAGATTTATCAAGGCTTCCCTTTCTCAGTGTCTTCGGGCCCTGTTATCACTTCTCGGGCATAGCATACTCTGCTACTGTCATGCTGCCATCCCCAGCTAGGCAGCGGGCCTGGCATCATCCTTAGCCCTGTCTCAGTGGTCCCACCATTGGGTTTTACAGCAGACACAATCGGGGCTCCTTCGCGGTGGCATGGCATGGCTGCTGGAGTTCTCTCCTCTGCCTTTGGTCCCATCTCAGGTGGAGCATCACCTGCAAGTGGAGGAGGTGCGACTCCGACCCGCCGTGGACTGGGGCAGGCGACCCCTGCCTGTGACTGAGGGCCTGGTTGAAGTCAGGCTTCCCGAGGGCTGGTCGCAAGTGTGTGACAAAGGCTGGAGTGCCCACAACAGCCACGTGGTCTGCGGTATGCTGGGCTTCCCTGGAGAAAAGAGAGTCAACATGGCCTTCTACAGGTGCGGGGCCCAGGGGTGTTTGCAGACGTTGGAGAGGATGAGGGAGGGAGCCTGTGGGAAGCCCATGTCTAAGGGAGGGGACGCAGGGAGACTGCTGTGACACAGGCGGCCGGCCGGCCGGGGAACCGAGCGTGACCTCGAAGGCTCTTCTTCCCCGGGGTAGGAAACAGGCAGATAGGCGAGCGGGCAGAATGCGAGCGCGTGCGGGTGACGTCATCGGTCGGCAGGCAGATTTCTGGGGCCTGGGCGCTGGGGCCTCGGGAGTTCAGAGTTCACAGAGGGTGCGGCTGCCTGTCGGAGGCGGTGCCTGCGGGTGTCTTCACAGGGCTGCGCCTGGGGCCTCAGAGACTGTGACTGGCCCGCGCCGCCGCCGCCGCCGAGTCACCCACCCTAGAGAACGGTTCTGTGCAAAGGGCGGCTTCCTTCCTGGAGCATCTCATTTGGAAGTTTGGATCAACAGCCCACGCTAGTC